AGCACATATCCCAAAACAGAAAATTGCCGTGCTTCTGCTTTGGAGAGGGGGAGCGCCTTTTCGGCAGGCGGATTCGTGGCCTCGGGCGAATTTGTTGTAATTTACAAAGGATCGTGGCCTCGGGGGCGCGAACATGATTTCAAATTACATGGGATCGTGGCTTCGGGGGCGCGAACGTGGCGTAAATGACGAGGGATCGTGGCCTCGAGGGCGCGAATGTGGAGTAATTTACCAGGGATCGTGGCCTCGGAAACGCAAATGTTGTAAATTACAAGGGATCGTGGCCTCAGAGACGCGAATGCGGTGTAATTTGCTAGGGATCGTGGCCTCGGGGGCGCGACTCCAGTGTAATTTGCAAGGGATCATGGCTTGGGGGGCACGAAACTCCAGTATTTTTACGTGTCCCACGCCCCCCAGAAATTCTGAGAACCCTTTCAGGGGACGCTAACCAGGGCCCTTTTCGGCTCCCCCCCCTCGCGCGGACAGTAACAATTTACAGTAGGAGGCAGAAAACAGTATTGTAACAATGGAAACTGGAAGCTGGACCTGGTGCAGGGAGCAGCAACCCGAATCCTCGCAGCCTGATGGCCCCGCAAGGGGGCCGGCGGATTTCAAGAGGGTTGCCCTTGGTTGTTTGGTTTTGTTTCCTTGCCACGCAATGCCAAGCAACACCAAGCAGAGCCAATCACTACAAAGTAACACCAAACACTGCGAAGCAATTCCAAACAGCGCCAAACAACGCCAAATAACGTCAAGCAATGCCAAGCAGCGCCAAGCAGCTCCAAGCAGCACCAAAAAATGCCACGCAAAGCCAAGCGCTGCCACGCAGTGCCAAGCAACTCCAAGCAACGCCAATCAGCGCCAAACAGTGCCAAGCAATACCAATCAATGTGAAGCACAGCCAAGCAGCAATCAAAGCAAAGCAATGCAGAGCAGCATCACGCAGCGCCAAGCATGCCAAGCAGCGCTCAGCAAAGCCAAGCAATGCAAAGCACCGACACAAACCACTGCAATGCAATGCAATGCAATCCCAGTCAAAGCAATGCAATGTCAAGCATTGCAGAGGGCCGAGCAATTGAAGCGTACCCCTAATTGGGGTCGCGCCAGGTTCATTCAATAGTTCTGTTCACTGGCTTGACTTAAGGCGAAAACAGGTTGAGTCGGTTGAGTGTTTTTAGGTTTTTGATGGTTTTTGATGCCGACGACGATTGTAATGATGGTGGTTATCAAATCGTAGTGCTGATGGTGGTGGCGACCATCCCCATCATCATCATCATCATCATCATCATCATCATCATCATCACCATCACCATCACCATCCATACCATCAGCATCGCCATCACCATCACCATCGTCACCATTGTGGTCCGTAGGACTTGGCTCAAGCGGACGGCGGACGACGACATTATTAAATAATGTCGTCGTCCGCTGGGGCGGTTTCCCCGAGCCCTCCAGCCTCGTCGTCCCCTCTTTTTTCGAGGGCAGCTTCGCCGAGCCATGCTTCTTCTTCGAGGGCAGCTGCTTCGCCGAGCCCTGCTTCTTCTTCTTCAAGGGCAGCTTCGCCGAGCCCTGCTTCTTCTTCGAGGGCAGCAGCTTCGCCGAGCCCGAGCCCGAGCCCTGCGGCCGCGTCGAGGGCAGCTTCGCCAAGCCGTGGCAGCTGCAACAGTTCGGACGCAGAATCGGCCGTGGCAGCTGCAACAACTGCCGTGGCCGCTGCCGACGCAGCGGGCTCCGAAGAGGACAGCGGCTCCAACAGCGGCTCCGACAGCGGCTCCGAAGAGGACAGCGGCTCCAGCAGCGAGGCAGCCGCGGCTGCAAGAGCGAAGGCGAAGGCCGCCCCGAGCAAAGTAGTCGAGAAGTTCCCGCCTTCGTTGTCCATGACCCTGGAGGAGCGCGTCGCCAGCCACGACTACCCAAAGCACGTCTCCACCTGCGGCGCTTGCAAATGTTGGAAGAGCTAGGAGAACTGGAGCGCCTCGATGTCTGCGACGAATCCAGTAACTCTGAAGAGTGAAACTTGGATAGGCTGCGTTGGTGGTAGATTTGCAGTCTGCTTGTTCTGCTCGGCGTTCAAGGGCGCTCGCTGCATTTTTCACCGTAGGCCAGGGATCCGCGAGTTTCCAACGCAAGGAAAACCTCGTGCGCCATGCGCAGTGCGAGGAGCACCAGGCAGCAGAAGCGGCGTGGAAAGAGCGGAGTCGAGCGGAAGGTGCGCACCAGGGTCTCCCCGTGTCTGCGTTCTCCACAACGGCTGCATCAGCTGCAGCAGCTGCAACAGCCGTGGCGCCTGCGCCCGCCGTCGTCCGCAACGCCGACCAGCGCCCTGGTTGCCGCGCAGTGGTCGCCACCCGTGCAATGTTGGAGACAACCGGTTCCTTCAGCAGTTTCGACGTGTGGCGGGATGCGTTCGTTAGGGGCGACCGCCAAGTTTTGGAGTCTAGTCGGCAGCGCCGAAGGCTGGTGACCACCATGGCTCAGCCAGAGAGGATCATCACGCAGA